TGACACTTCTTAGTGAATGACTGGTCTAGCTTGACACTAGATACGAGCAGGAGACAGACGTACCTGCATTGTTATCAAATCCCACACCAAGACAAGATCTCTTGAGATCACACATGCAAATTTCGCACACACTTCAGGATGCGGTCACGCAGAGGAGTTCTCTTAAAGGGGAATTTTAGTTACATTGTAATACAATATACCATTTATACAGTATACACACACACACACACAATATATATATACCAATATAGTGTTACTCTTATGAACAGTCAAATGAACAGAGCGTACAGTACACAGCACTTTTCTCTAATCCTCATTTGAAATTATTTCTAATGTTTAAAAAAGTGTTATGAAAGGAATTTTGATGAGTTAAGGTTTGTCTACTCAGGAAGTCATTTTGTACTTGAAAATCAGAAGACTACAATGCTTAGCCCATAAGTCAGCTGGCTGAAGGCAACCTGGGCTGTGCTGATAACATGGGCTTTTTGCTTCTGTTCTTGTGAGAGTTTTATTGATTATCTTCCTCTGTATTACTTTTTGTATTGAGGACATTTGCTTTTCATCACCGACATTGTACTTTTTTTTTTTTATTGAGGTCGGATATAAGCAAGATCAAACTAGATTCTGTTCACTGGAAGAACACAAATATTGATCTCATTTCATGTGACCCTCGTTTTATTAGTTAAATCAGGATATATCAGTAATATAACAAATTAAATGAGGTAGAAATGTGAAATTGTAGGAATGTAAGAGATGTTAGAAGTGTAAGAATAAAGTGCTTATTCACAATTGAGGTGGCTCAGATCAGATATTATGTTAGAAAAGGTGCATTTGCACAGAGTGTTCTTTAGTGCGCATTGGGTGAGTTGAGTGCGCATGTACGTATGTAAACTGACCATTGTGCAGTTGTGCAAGAGTGTCTATAGCGCACAGATAAGTGAAAGTGCAGTGTGCAGATGTATGTGAATGTCCATTGGAGTGTTTTTTTTTCTGTAGACATGGGATGGGAAGGCAGTTTATGATGGGAGTAGGATGCTGGGTGGTATCAGCTTATTCAGGATTCTGACAGCCTGGGAAAAAAGCTGTTGCAGAACCTTGATGTGTGGGTCCTGATGCTGCGTAGTCTTCTGCCTGATGGCAGAGGGTCAAACAGTTGGTGGGAGGGGTGAGATTAATCTTTCACAATGGCAGAGGCTCTGCGTACACAGCGTGCCTGATAGATGTCCTGGATAGAGGGGAGGGAGACCCCTATGATCCTCTCAGCTGTCCTCACTATGCGCTGGAGGGACTTGTGTTCTGCTGTTTTGCAGTTTCCGAACCACACAGTGATGCAGCTGGCCAGGACGCTCTCCACAGTTCCTCTGTAGTAGGTGGTGAGGATGGGTGGTGGGAGGCTGGCACTCTTCAGCTTCCGCAGGAAGGGAAGACGTTGTTGCGCCTTCTTCACAGTGGAGTTGGTGTTGATGGACCAGGTGAGGTCGTCAGAGATGTGCACACCAAGAAACTTGATGCTCCTGGCTCTCTCTACAACAGAGCCACTGATGAACAGGGGAGGATGATCAGTTGAACTTCTCCGGAAATCCACAGCGATCTATTTTGTCTTGTCCACATTGAGAGACAGATTGTTGCTGTGGCACCAGCTCACCAGTTGTTCCACCTCCTCTCTCTAAGGTGTTTTGTTATCGTTGCTGATGAGGCCCACTACTGTCATGTCATTAGCAAACTTGACAACGAGGTTGGATTCTGACTTGGCTGTGCAGTCGTGGGTGAGCAGCGTGAACAGCAGTGGACTGAGAACACAGACTTGAGGGGCACCTGTGCTTAATGTGATAGTGCCTGATGTTCTGCCACCCATGCGCACTGACAGTGGTCTCTCTGTCAGGAAGTCTAGAATCCAGTTGCAGAGTGGCGTGTTGAGACCCAGTAGAGAGAGTTAACTCACTAGTTGCTGTGGAATGATTGTATTGAATGCTGAGCTAAAGTCAATCAACAGCATTCTGACATATGAGTCTTTTGTGTCCAGATGTGATAAAACGGAGTGCAGTATGTAGGAGATAGCATCATCTGTAGAGCGGTTGGGGCGGTATGCAAATTGTAGAGGGTCTAGTGAAGAGGGCAAAGTGGAGTGGATGTGTCTTTTGACCAGACGTTCAAAGCAATTCATTGTGATGGGAGTCAGTGCTACAGGGTGATAATCACTGAGACATGTCAACGTTGACTTCTTAGGCACCAGTGAAGCTGAAGCCAGACAGAGCACCTGCTCCTCAGAGGGTGATGTTGGTCTTTTTGAAGCACGCAGGGACCACAGCCTGGCTCAGTGAGATGTTGAAGATGTCAGTGAAGACATCTGCCAGCTGGTCAGCACAGTCCCTGAGCACTCTTCCTGGAATGTTGTCTGGGCCTGCAGCAGTCCGTGGATTGACTCTAGATAATGGCCTCCTTACGTCAGTTGAAGCCAGACAGAGCACCTGCTCCTCAGGAGTGGGCATGGATTTAAGTGCCTGTGTGTCATTCAGAGCTTCAAACCGTGCATAGAAATCACAACCCAATCTCGTGAAAGTGCGTATAAATCCTACGCCAAATAAAAAAGAAAACTTGTGGTATTGATACGCAAAAATGGACTTTGGCGTGTATATCCCATGCAGTGGGTAGGATTAGGATTGTGGGGTAGATGTGTATCATATGTACGTGAAAACTGCGTATCATATGCACGGCAACAAATTTTGTATCAAATGCAAGTGAAGTCTTGTCCACATTGAGAGACAGATTGTTGCTGTGGCACCAGCTCACCAGTTGTTCCACCTCCTCTCTCTAAGGTGTTTTGTTATCGTTGCTGATGAGGCCCACTACTGTCATGTCATTAGCAAACTTGACAACGAGGTTGGATTCTGACTTGGCTGTGCAGTCGTGGGTGAGCAGCGTGAACAGCAGTGGACTGAGAACACAGACTTGAGGGGCACCTGTGCTTAATGTGATAGTGCCTGATGTTCTGCCACCCATGCGCACTGACAGTGGTCTCTCTGTCAGGAAGTCTAGAATCCAGTTGCAGAGTGGCGTGTTGAGACCCAGTAGAGAGAGTTAACTCACTAGTTGCTGTGGAATGATTGTATTGAATGCTGAGCTAAAGTCAATCAACAGCATTCTGACATATGAGTCTTTTGTGTCCAGATGTGATAAAACGGAGTGCAGTATGTAGGAGATAGCATCATCTGTAGAGCGGTTGGGGCGGTATGCAAATTGTAGAGGGTCTAGTGAAGAGGGCAAAGTGGAGTGGATGTGTCTTTTGACCAGACGTTCAAAGCAATTCATTGTGATGGGAGTCAGTGCTACAGGGTGATAATCACTGAGACATGTCAACGTTGACTTCTTAGGCACCAGTGAAGCTGAAGCCAGACAGAGCACCTGCTCCTCAGAGGGTGATGTTGGTCTTTTTGAAGCACGCAGGGACCACAGCCTGGCTCAGTGAGATGTTGAAGATGTCAGTGAAGACATCTGCCAGCTGGTCAGCACAGTCCCTGAGCACTCTTCCTGGAATGTTGTCTGGGCCTGCAGCAGTCCGTGGATTGACTCTAGATAATGGCCTCCTTACGTCAGTTGAAGCCAGACAGAGCACCTGCTCCTCAGGAGTGGGCATGGATTTAAGTGCCTGTGTGTCATTCAGAGCTTCAAACCGTGCATAGAAATCACAACCCAATCTCGTGAAAGTGCGTATAAATCCTACGCCAAATAAAAAAGAAAACTTGTGGTATTGATACGCAAAAATGGACTTTGGCGTGTATATCCCATGCAGTGGGTAGGATTAGGATTGTGGGGTAGATGTGTATCATATGTACGTGAAAACTGCGTATCATATGCACGGCAACAAATTTTGTATCAAATGCAAGTGAAAACTGCGTATTATATGCACGCCAAACAAGTGTGTATCATATGCACGCCAAAGTCAGTTTTTGTGAATCAATACCACATGTTTTTCATTTTTATTTGGCGTACTATTTATATGCATTTTCATGAGACTGTGCTCAAAAATCATTCAACAAGTCAGGGAGGTGGGTGTCACTGTTGTTGGCACAACAATTTAATACACCTGTTAATACACAAGACAACAAATCCTCAGTCTTTGCAAACCTTTTATGTATGAGATTTTTTCATGGTTTTGTTAGTAGATTTCTATTGCATACATTGTTATATGTGAATTTATGCATAAAGCACTAACGCTAATATTGCATGTAAATTGTGTCAAGATATGACAATTAATCACTTGAAAGCAAAGCCTCTTCACCACTTTCATAAGGTCCAGAGAGACAGAGCAAAATGTAGCTAATCTGATTTTCCTAATCTGTTTCTATTTGTTCTGGCTTGATAAGGTAAAGATGGTGCCTGAATGTTTAAACATTGTGAGACAATAGAAAGTGAGGCCTGGTAAGATTTACATTCATGGCTTGTTGTGATCCAGTCAATTATGACTTTTTTTCTCCATAAGAGGAAATACAGTTGCACCACTGATATATAAATCATAGAATTTGGAATAATTTGGAAACGGAATAATATTCAATTATAGTTATGATATAGCTGGTCGTACACAACCACTGAAGTTTAGTCTATGAAAAAAAGGAAGCAACAGCACCAACAGAAAGATTAGAAAAAGTTATTATATTTTGCACTTTCTGTAGCATTTACTGTAAGTCAGAAGGTTAAGGATTAAGGATAAGGATAAACTGGTTGCTGAAAAAAAATATCTTCAAGCTAGGGTCAAGTAAACATACAATGTTTAATTTTAGTGGTTCAGACTGAATTAATATTTAATTCATAGGGATTAGAGTTTAGAAAAAAGCCAGAAGGTTTGAGGAATATCATTTCTGTGCTGTACTGTTCTAATAAAGAATTGAGTATGATACTCTTCAGAGTGCAGCAGTGCTTTTCCCAACTGAGTTAGATTGATTAATCTTTGACTGCTTCATTCATTACTCCATCTGTTCCTTTTCATGTATTTTCTCTGATAGGCATGACTTGTCAAGCACGGACGTCGTACACAGAGGATGAGGTGCTGTGGGGCCACAGATTTTTCCCAGTCATCTCTCTGGAGGAGGGCTTCTTTAAAGTGGATTATTCTCAGTTCCACGCCACATTTGAGGTTCCCACACCTCCCTACAGTGTGAAAGAGCAGGATGAGGCATTACTCATGTCCTCTCCGCTCATGGCCCCGTCTCTGTGCAATAGCAGAGAAAAGAACAACTCCCTGGACTGCCTGGAACTGCTGGAGGATCAGGAGAGCACGACTAAATTACCAGCCAAGGTGCAGAAGATGACAGGTAGAGACGGGCTGCCCAGGAAGCTCCTGAGAATGAGCTCCACCACATCAGAAATGACATACAGCCTTGGCGAACTGCCCATGAAGCTCCAACGCATCAGTTCTGTGCCTGGGGTCTCAGAGGAAAAGCAGGTTACCAAGACAACTAAGATTGCTACAGAGTCCATCAGCAAATCAGTTGCGGACTTGCCACCAAAACTGCAAAGAATGGCTGGGGGAGGAGGCCGCATGGACGGACACCTCCCTCCCAAACTCAGAAAGATGAACTCTGATCGTTTCACATAGAAGAACTTTATTCTTCAGCTGCTGTCAAAAGGGCCCTCGTTTCATTTGAGATGTTAATAAGCATGTATATACAGTATAGACAGATAAACCATATATGCTGTACTAATGAAGTAGGTTAACATAATTCTAAATGTCTGTCCCTGTGGTGGCTTCACATACAGTGAACAGACTCATTCAGGTTGTTGTTACTACAAGCACAATCTGGTATGGATGACACCCACAAGTGCATGTAAAAATATCTCCCTCCCTCTGATGGCATGACAAGCTGTACATATTTATGTGCCAAGGAAATGTTAGCAAATATTCATTTTTTCCAAGCCATATGGCGATATAGCAGACAGTTCCTCCAATGTGGCTAATTAGGAGTTATTTAAGTCACACAGTTGCATTGTTTAATATCAGTTTACTGTGCTTATGTTACAATGCATGTTTAACTTAACAAAGGTGATAAATAGATGTTCAGATGTACGTACACTAATTCATTGTTTCAGTTTTCATACATGCTTTATTTGGATTTTTCCTGTGCATGATTGTTAACTGATATACCAGTAATGCCAATAATCTTCTTGCAGCATAAATACATACTTAGTTGATTAATTATTTAGAATAGCAACCCTATTGAACACAGAACAAACACCACTATTGAG